TTACTTACACTTCTAGATATAAAACCCAATACTCTGTTTGCCTTATTTCGAACATTAACGCACTGTTTTCTAGGCCGTAGGTCCGGGCTTACAAGGACCCCTAGGTCTCTTTCACAAGTCGACTTCTCTAGGTTGATGTTGTTAAGGCTGTATACATTGACAGTATTTGTTCTTCCAATATTAAGTACGCTGCACTTGCTGGTGTTGAATTTCATTTGCCATTTTTCAGACCACCCCTGCAGTTTATTTAGATCCTCCTGCCCTGAATTAATCTGCCGCCCTATTTTGGTGTCATCCGCAAACTTGCTTATGTCACTGCTGATCCCAGTATCTAGATCGTTTATGTAGATTATGAACAAGAGTGGGCCTAGTACTGACCCCTGAGGAACCCCACTGATTACACGGCCCCACTCAGATTTAACACCATCTACGCTGACCCTCTGCGTTCTATCGGTGAGCCATGATTTTATCCTCTGCATCCTGTGTTGGGGCGTATGAAAATGGCATGACGTGAGTGATTCAGTGGGACTCGGAGAGTCATGAGGCGCTCGTTGACCCGAACAGGCATTTCAGTTAGCCTATGTAGGATGTATTGGCGGATGGCAAAGCCAACTCCATAAATGCAGTTTCTCTCCGCAGCAGGCTTACCCTTCCACAAGAAGGTATAGCCAGACCCCCTATCTGTGAGCTGCCATGCACAGGCCAACCGGCCTATTGCAGACTCCTTGTTTTCTTATGTTCTTAAGAGAGGGGATTCGATAGGGGGCAGATAAGAGGGTAAGCTAGGTGAGGTGGATGGTTAAGGTGCTAATGGACACAAGAAGATCAAAGGGAAAGTCCGCTGTCATGGCCACTGCCGCCTGACCTGACCTGACGTCATCTCACCTCATCTCACGAGACCTGAAGGTATGTGACCGCGTGGTGTCTCCCTCCACCCACACCATACCCTTCACGGCTACGACCATACCATATATTATTAGGTTGCCACAGACATTAAAACTCTTTGTTTGAGGCAAGTAGCGAGTAACGATTTGTGTTTTGTGTTTTTTTTCAATTGCAATGGAATAAAAGTATTAGAAATCCATACTTAAGTAAAAGTACTAAAACACATATGTTTGGTTTAATTTGTTTGGGTGCGTGAAGCCGGTGTAGAAATAACTTACCAGCCGCCTAAAACAATTACCAATCAACTTAATTTACATGAGTCAGGTTAGGATCATTAAATTAGATTAGATTCTCATGAATCTGGTCGTTTTCTCACTCGTTCCAACGTTTTCTCTGTCCCTGATCACACAGCCAATACAGTACTATGCATGACAGAACGTTTGAGCAGTACACAAACAATACCTCTCGATCATTTTGACAACTGACAACTTAAGGAATATTTATCTATATTTATCAACAACTTCATTAATGATCCTGATGGTATAACAACCGGAAATAAAGAACTAAAACAGCAAGATTCACTTTCATAAATTGTTTACACTGAAAATTGTGATAAAGAAGCCATAAATAATTTTCTTGCGATATTTCACAGACCTCTTAAGAGTCATGGTGAATCGTTGCTACGCCAAATTATGAATCCAGTGAAGATGCATTCTATTATGGCGAAGATTCACATGAACGTTCAAGGTTATAACGTGGCGCTCTTTTCTGCAATTATTTTTAATTATCATTTACGGTATTTTGTTACAGTAGTATACCATGAACCTAATGGTTAATATCAACTGACTCAGTACCTCAGTAGACGAGTCTTTCTGCACTGGTGCCTCAACTCACGTCACCGCGGTTGCTGGAGGATAGGTTTTTTTCACACTACATTTTTCCAACATTCACGGCATGGGATCCAATTTTTCATCTGTGGAGTATCATCTATCAACCTCTTTCCCCGACCTCTTACTACTATCTGAACTTCAACTGACCAAAACAGCTTCACCCAAACCTTTTCAAGTCTCCAACTACAACCTTTATACTTCTTTCCGTTCTAAGGGAGGTGTATGCGCCTACTGTAACTCACGTACACCTATAGCTCGACTCACGGACCTTGAAACTTCTCTTTACGGTGCCATCTGGCTAAAAATATCTCTACCAACTATGACTACATTTCTTTGTTTCCTACAGTATACTATTCTCCAACGCTACCAACTATTTGGAATTCTTTGACTATCTCACTTCTTGCCACGAGTCGTTGCTTTCCACACACCCCAACACCGAGATCCTCTAGCCAGGGGATTTCAATGTACATCACAGAGAGTGGCTTGGCTCTGCAAGGGATGACCCAGGTGGAGCTGAGGCACTCTCTTTTTCTTACTTAATGATCTGGAACACATAATTAAACACACTACACGTGTTCCTTATCGTCAATATCAACTTACTTACATTCTTGATCTTTGTTTTACCTCTAACCCCTCACACTATTCATACTAAATTTCTGTTCCTTTAGGGTCTTCTGATCACAATCTTATTTCTATTAAATCAAACTGGGCACGACCACCTACCCCCCCCCCTCTAAACGCCAATTATGGCACTATCGGAGGGCAAACCGGCAATCCTTGAGAGAATTCTTCTATGACTTTCCCTGGGATGGATGTGCTGACAGCATTGCTGGGGTTATACAGGGTGGTATGAGTGCATTTATCCAATCTTCAACCAAAACTTTCACTTTACACTCATGGTTTGATCGCTCCTGTTCTCTTGTTTGCAGGGAGAGAGATAGGGAGTATCAAGTTACGAAACTATCTCCTTCTCCTGTTACCCACTCCTCTTTCATTACTTCTAGGAATCGTTGTAAGGCTATTCTTCGTAGGGCCAAGAGGAATTTTATAGAAAGAAAGACCGCTGTCCTGACTAATTCTTCTTCTAGTAAATCCTTCTGGTCCTTAACCAAAAACATCTGTAATAACTTCTGCACTCCTTCTTTTCCGACCTGATAACTCTAGCGCCAACTCTCCCCCTGACAAAGCCAATCTCTTTGGCACTTTATTCTCCTCTAACTCCACCTGAGACGATTCCAACTCTATCCATCCTACCACTGCTTCTCCTACTGAACCTATGCACTTTCCTATAATCTCCACTCGTAGGGTTGCTGGTGTGTTATCCAGGTTGGATGTGAGTAAGGCGCATGGACCGGACGGAATAACCCCTCGTGTTCTGAGGGAGTGTGCTGAAGTTCTGGCCCCTGTGCTTGCTCGCCTCCTTCGCCTTTTACCTTAAGACCCAAACTTTTCCTCCTTCTTGGAAGCATGCCTTGGTTCAGCCCATCCCGAAGAAGTGTGACCATTCCAATCCCTCTAACTATCGCCCCATTGCCCTAACTTCACCCCTCTCTAAGATTTTCGAAACTATCTTAAATGTCCATTTTCTCCGTCACCGTAAACGCCTTTCTCTTTTGTCGGATCACCAGTTTGGTCATCCTCTCTTAGGGATTATGGGGAAACTTTTATCGTTGCCCTCGTGGCATTTGACAGGGTATGGCACAAGTCTTTGTTTGTAAACTTCTTTCTTATGGTTTCTCTCCTCCACTTTGTTTTCTCATCTCTAGCTTCCTTGAGAACTGATCCATGGCAGTTGTTGTCGAGGGATCGATCTCTCGCTCTTTCTCTACCAATAGTGGTGTCCCACAGGGTTCTGTTCTTTCACCTACTCTCTTCCTTCTTTTTATCAATGATTTACTTCACACTACGACTAATTCTATCCATTCTTATGCTGATGATTCTACTCTTCACTCTTCCTCACATTTTCCCTTCCCCCTAATTCTCAAACTAGATCTGTTTCTAGAGCTGATACCATTTCATCTATCAATGTGGATCTGTGCAGCATTCCGAATGGGGAGGTAGAAAATTGGTTAAATTCAATAGTAATAAAACTCACTGTTTACCAATTACACTTTCTAAATCAGATAATCTTCCACCAATCACATTTCAGGACGCAATCATTCTGCCAAATTTTCAAATAGATATGCTAGACCTCACCATTTCCTCTAACATGTCATGGAAGCCACACATCCACAACATTGCTAAAGCTGCCTCCCGAAAGCTGGAAATGCTGCACAGATGCCGTAACTACTTCACCCCTGAGCAGTTGCTTCAGGTATATAAGGGATTCATTCGTCCTAACTTGGAGTACTGTTCTCATATCTGGGGTGGTTCTTCTTCTGTCCAACTGTTAGATAGGGTGGAATCAAAGACATTTCGTCTTATTAACTCTCCTCATATAGTTGATAATCTCTCTTCCCTTTCTCTTCGCCGCAATGTTGCTTCACTCTCTCTCTCTTTTACAGGTACTTTAACGGGCAATGTTCGGTGGATTTGGCATCCTGTGTACCGTCGGCAAGACCGTGGGCTCGTAACACTCGTCTTGCTCGCGGTGCCCACCGTTTCTGTGTGGATGTCGGTTTCACAAGAATAACCCTTTATAGTACATCCTTCTTTCCTCACACAGCCAAACTGTGGAATGTTCTGCCTTCTCCTGTGTTTCCATACTCAAACAATCTCTCTCACTTCAAAAAGATGGTTTTCCAGCATCTTCGTGGTCTAGATTAATACAGTCTTTTCTCTTCTATTCTTAATTTCTTTTTACTCTTATTTTTTCGCCCCCTAGGCCCCATTGTGAGTCAATGACCTGTGCCCGGGTGGGTTATTCCCCGCAAAAAAGAAAAAAAAATCTGGGAACACTGCCTGGTGCGTTTGGTGCAAGACTCCTTGTGTGGACCAGCATCTTGCTAAGGTGGTGCAGATAACCCACTAGCTGCTGAATAAGATAATCAGCACTTGCCCGTTTACCCAACATTATTATTATTATTATTATTATTATTATTATTAATATTATTATAGTTATCATTATTATTGTTGCTGTTGTTGGTGTTATAAATATCCATAGTTAGCACTGAACGACGTGCAGTATGAAAGGTATACTGTATAGCAAACAACTAAGAAAAACACAATAATATATATATATACAATTCTGGTAAGCAAACATTAATTCTTTATGTACTGTTGCAGGTGGCGGCGATATCCTGCATGACAATCCTTCTCCTACTAGGATCATGGGTGGAGGGGGAGGAGGACCTACCTAGCGATGACGTTCTCCAAGCTGTCAAGCTCCTGCAGGGAGCGTCAGGACAGCGAAGAAGCGTCACTAGAGGCAGAGAAGGGTCGTCAGATGTGGAGGAGGAAGAAGACTCCTTAATTCAGAATGTTTTACAGGATTTTGCTAAGATCAGAGACACTGGCGACGACAGAGAGCGTCCACAGAGCGCCAAGCCTTCGATGCCGCCCCAGTCCACGCTACGGGTTCTTGACGTGAGGGTTGACGCCTCCAGTAACTCTATCCCCATGGAGAAGCTAGTAGGGGCTGACACCTCCAGGAACCTTCGTCGCCAGACAGCTTCATCAAGTTTCTCCCAGAGGACGGGCGTCGCTCCTGGGGAAGAAGAGCAGATCTCCACCACGTTTAAGAAGGGTCGTCTAGGGCGTGTCCGGGTGGTGACAATCAAGAGACCTCTGGGGCAAGTTGAGGCCAGGGAGGAAGCGCACGAAGATTACGACCTGTCGCTGTTTGACCCTAACAACGTGTATTCTTTTGTTGACTGGGGGAAGCGTTTGGACCATCACAAGACCGAGGATGACACTGCGGCGTCTGGTAGCGCAAAGGCCAAGTCAACGAGGACGCCACAGAGGAGACCCACAACTCTGGCGCCCGCTACTCTGGCTGCTATACCAGGCGCCGTCACTCCCAGCACACCAGGTGGCACCAGCCGGCCGCGCTTTACTCCAACAAGACAACGTGGAACAAATAACAAAATAAGTGTGGCATCCACCACCAGACCACGTGTTCCTGCCAGGGATAGATCAGGTTTTACAACCAGACCACATTTCAAGTCTGTCCCGAGGACGCGTGTTACACAGCAAGTCACGCCCACTGCCGTACGCACAAGACCTCGTGTGACCTCTGATAAATCAAGAGGTACCTCCACAGCCACCAGCACTACTAACTCTGCAGAAAAGTTCGGTGACGAAGACGACGATGTCCCATTCAACGCCCTGGAAGACATACCGCGAGTATCATCAAAAATCTCCGATGAGTATCCCGATTACGACAATGACTCCCAACCACCAAGAGCCCCGACAGGTCTTCTACGCCCCAGACTAACACAACAAGGTTCTCCAAGACCTACACAGTCCCGTTTGCTTACTCCGGTCACCTCCAACTTTTTAAGACCTCGTCCAGTCACTTTCCCATTTACCTCAGTAGCTCCACTTACTCCCAGTTCCCCGAGTCTGGTGAACTCGCCCTCACCAGCACCTCCCCGGGTACCCGTGAGAGGCGTGACGACACCCTCAAACTCGCCGTTCAGCTCCTCCTTCTCCACCTTCTCATTCAACCGATTACCGGATACCCAGAGCACCCACGCCCCTGCTAGTGTCTCGCCCACGCATTCTGGTACATCGTTCTTCACCTCTCCACGTCCTCCAGTAACCAGCTCTTTCTCCCCTCTCCGGATCACCTCTCCTGGCCCCTTCCCCTTCACCTCCCCACGATCATCATTCTTCAACTCGCCCAGACCAGCACAGTTCCCGTCGTCGACCTCAGTGTCACTTGAGTCTCCGAACACCGCTTCCTTCACCACCCCGAGCACGCCCTTATTCACCACCCCGAGCCCCCTCCTCTTCAACAATCCCTCCTTGACAGGTTTCACTCCTTCTGATCCATCGCAGTTCACATCTAGCCCATCACGGCCCACATCAGCCACCCCGACACAATTCGGTTTCCGTCATTCACAATTTCCTTCTCCCAATCCAGTCCAGTTTAGCTCTCCTGTCCCGTTCCAGGTTACGTCTCTTAGCCCGACCCAGTTCAGTTCTCTTCCATCCCAGTCTACCTCTCCACGTTCATTCCAGTCTACCTCTCCACGTTCATTCCAGTCTACCTCTCCACGTTCATTCCAGTCTACCTCTCCACGTTCATTCCAGTCTACCTCTCCACGTTCATTCCAGTCTACCTCTCCACGTTCATTCCAGTCTACCTCTCCACCATCATTCCAGTCTACCTCTCCACGTTCATTCCAGCCTACCTCTCAACAATCATTCCAGTCTACCTCTCCTCGTCCATTCCAGATTACTTCTCCCAGCCCAAACCAGTTTTCTTCTCCTGGTCCATCCAGGTTTTCCACCTCCCGACCCACACTGTTCACCAACTCTCACAGCCCCTTCCTCGACCCTGTGACCACTCCCCATCCTTCCTTCGTGTCGTCCTCGGCGCCGACCTTCCTGCCTTCAAGTCGTCCAGGAGGTCAACCATTCACAAACATCAACACCCAGAAGCCTCCCCACACTGGCTTTTCCCTGGAATCCTTCAACCCAGGATCCCCCTTTTTCAATTCGCTGAAGCTAGGAGTGCCAAGTCAGTCAGTCGAAAGAAACCAAGGCAGTCACCGGTCAACCAATAGTCAAGAAGTTGACCGCCAGAGAGGCCGGTCTCAAACATCAAAGGCGTTGGTTTCTCCACCAGGTCAAGTGTTTTCGACACGACGGCCACCACAAGTCGTCCCGTCACCTCCTCCTCCAACCCTCCCTCCACTGCCCATTCTGTCGCGTCCCTCCTCCTCCTCCCCCTCACAGAGGGGCTTCTCGTCTTCTCCCGCAGTGTTCAGCAGGCCAACACTACCCAGGTTCTCCACGACCCCCACCCCGTCAAGTAGCCCCTTCACTCCCTCCCACACCACGTTCAACTTCAGGCCGCTGTCATCGACCACCACCACGTTCCCTCCTTCATTTGCTTCTATTACTACCAACCCCACCTCCCAGTCTTCGGTCTCACCCACACATTTTACTGTCAATCGTAACAATAACAATATACAGGGCGCAAGAGGTCAACCCAACGAGCCTCGTCCTACTACTTTCTCTCCTCCTCGACGGGTAGTTCCTGGCAACACCTTCCAGTTTCTGATGCATCATAACGACCATAACACAGATATACTCCGCAACGGCGTGACGTCTACACCTCAACCAACAACCACCCTAACTTCTCCCCCCTTCTTCCGCTTCTTCTCCACGACCAGAGCCACCCGCACACCCTCCACACTCCGGGCCATCTCTCAGCCAACCCAGCCTGTCACTTCCACCGAACCACCTGGCGTCAATTCCTTCCAGAGCTTCCGTGTTCCAGTACCGATAACATCCTCCTCCCTGCCATCAACTCAGCCAAACCCCAACACTTTCCAAAACACTTTCCAAAGTTCCCGGATTTCCTCAACGCCGAAGACCTTAGCTTCCGTGAGAGCCTCACCACCCAGCACCACCTTCCAGAATTCCGTAAATCGAGGCACTTCAGATCCGAGGCAATCAATAGGGAACAACTTCGTCGGCCACGTCACCAATTCCCCCACCCTGACCCCCCTTCCCCCAAGGACCACCACCACCTCTCCTTTCTTCGCAGCATTTGGTCGCCTTCAGACCAGTGCACCTGGAGACAAGTTCACTAACACTTTTGACGGAGGTAATACTCAGACTAACACTTTCCGCTCATCTAACCCTGAGAATAGTACTCTTAATGCAGGTAATGTTCACAAGGTAGCATTTAACACAGGTAACTCCCAGACCGGTACTTTTAACACAGGTAACTCCCAGACCGGTACTTTTAACACAGGTAACTCCCAGACCAGTAATTTAAACACAGGTAACTCCCAGACCGGTAATTTTAACACAGGTAACTCCCAGACCAGTAATTTTAACACAGGTAACTCCCAGACCAGTACTTTCATCACAGGTAACTCCAAGACCGGTACTTTCATCACAGGTAACTCCCGGACCAACAAATTCAATTCAGGTAACTCCCAGACCAGTAATTTTAACACAGGTAACTCCCAGACCGGCAATTTTAACACAGGTAACTCCCGGACCAACAAATTCAATTCAGGTAACTCCCAGACCAGTAATTTTAACACAGGTAACTCCCAGACCAACAAATTCAATTCAGGTAACTCCCAGACCAGAAATTTTAACACAGGTAACGCCCAGACCAGCAATTTTAACACAGGTAACTCCCAGACCAACAAATTCAATTCAGGTAACTCCCAGACCGGTAATTTTAACACAGGTAACTCCCAGACCAACAAATTCAATTCAGGTAACTCCCAGACCAACAAATTCAATTCAGGTAACTCCCAGACCAGTAATTTTAACACAGGTAACTCCCAGACCCGTACTTTCACCACAGGTAACTCCCAAACCGGCAATTTTAACACCGGTAACCCCCAGACCAACGAATTCAATTCAGGTAACTCCCAGACCAGAAATTTTAACACAGGTAACTCCCAGACCAACAAATTCAATTCAGGTAACTCCCAGACCAGTAATTTTAACACAGGTAACGCCCAGACCAGCAATTTTAACACAGGTAATTCCCAGACCAACAAATTCAATTCAGTTAACTCCCAGACCAGTAATTTTAACACAGGTAACTCCCAGACCAACAAATTTAATTCAGGTAACTCCAAAACCAGTAAGTTTGACACAGGTAACTCCCAGACCAACAAATTCAATTCAGGTAACTCCCAATCTAGTAATTTTAACACAGGTAACTCCCAGACCAACAAATTCAATTCAGGTAACTCCCAGACCAGAAATTTTAACACAGGTAGCTCCCAGACCAACAAATTCAATTCAGGTAACTCCCAAACCAGTAATTTTAACACAGGTAACTCCCAGACCAACAAATTCAATTCAGGTAACTCCCAGACCAGAAATTTTAACACAGGTAACTCCCAGACACCCACTTTCATCACAGGTGACATTCAATCAAGTACTTTTAAAGCAGGTAACGCTCAGAATAGTAACCTAAACACAGGTGACGTTCAGACCATTGTTAAAATTGATAATAATCAGAGTAGCAACAGAGGAAGTAACACACATAGTAACGCTGACAGAGGAGATAACATACAGAGCAGTAACGCTAACAGAGGAGGCAACTTACAGAACAGTAATGCTAACACCAACAGGGGTCTCACCGTTAATCGAGGCAGTGTCCGTTTCAGCACCACTAACAGAGGCCTCCCTGAAAATAGTGACCCAAATAATGTTCAATTTAGCAGTAATAATATTGTTCAAATTAAGAGTATTAACAGTGATAATGTTCAAAATATCAACGGTAACAGGAACAATATTCAAACTGGTATTCGTAACAATGTTAATGTGGTGAATGTTGGTGTGACGAATGTTGAGGGAGGAAGGGAGGGAGGTGAGCGGCGGGGCCCCTTCAGGGAACTGCCCTCACCTCCTGTCATCATACATGGCGGGTTCGTCCCCATGACCCCTCCTACCACTACCACCACCACCACTGCCAGACCTGCTAACCCCTCCTTCTCCCTCACCCCTCCAACAGCGTCGGCCTTTGGTCTCAGGGCGGCACCTCCCATACTCGCCACAACCCTGACTCCCTCACTTCCACGACCCACCACCCCACGACGACATATCTTCAAGGCATCGACTACTCGTCTGACCACGACCCCAGCGCCTGACACATTCAGACCCACCACCACGACCCCACCTCGAGTCACGACTTTCAGAGGACCTTTCCCCTCCCAAACCTTCACGACCTCTTCCCCACTTTCTACCACTCGCTTGTATAATTTCGTAAACAATATCAGCCCCGTCAGAAGGCAGTCATCTAGTTTCACTACCACTCCCAGCCCAAACACTCGCCCCCAGACCACTTTAAAATCCATCACCAGAGGACCGTCTACAAGCAGGTTTAACTTCAGTCCCTCAACTACTCCACGACCTGTCAGTTCCCAGCGTGTGGTGACGACGAGATCGCCACCAGTAACTTCCCCTAAACCCAACAGAGTCTTGTCTTCCACGATTCAGCCACAGTTCAAAAGCGTCCGAGCCACCCGGCAGCCCTCCAGAACACCCTCATTCTCCGTCAACAACGTTGCAAAACAGCTGTTGAAGCCCTTCACGACGTCACGGCCGTCGCCAGGGGGCAAAACTTCCAGCATCTCGCAGGCAGGACAGACCAACAACAGCGAAACTATACCCCGGTCATTCCAGCCTCTGGCGCCCATCAGCGGGAAGTCGTTCATCTTCGTACGGAACGGCAACAACGAGTACCGTGTGGTGTGGGACTAGCGTGGAGGACGGCGGCCTCCAGTACTCCACCGGGGAGGCCAGGCACCCCAGGACCTGCTGCTGCACACCACCAACTTCCTTCACTGCCGAGGACCTTCTTCCCTCTTGTCTATTTTACATTCAGGACCTTCTTCCCTCTTGTCTATTTTACATTCAGTCTCGATGTTCTTTAGTGTCTAGTCAAGTGATGCTGGAAGTGGAACAGCTAATATTATATTTTTATTATTCTAATGTATTCGGTGGCACTGTTTGACACAGTGTCTGCCTCGTGTTAGACTAGTCTCTGTTTGTAAATACGGCTATTACAATGTATATTTTATATTAAATAAAACAGCGAAACTTATAATAATCCTTAGTTTCTTCAGTGTGTACATACTCCCCCACACTGTGGCCTTGATGGTCGGTGGTCAGGACTCGCGGAGAGGGACGCCCAAGCAGGAGAAATAGTGCCAGAAATTCTTTGTATATAAGCGGCCTTCCTTAGTCTTACAAGAACCTTCCACTACGTGTGAGATTTTACGAAACCATTATATTAATTGATCATTAGTTCACGCCCAGGACACCCCTAGTCGACCAGCTATGACTGGATACCTACTGAACAAGTGTGGAAGTGACGGTCGATTTACTTTCATGTGTGTGTGTGTGTGTGTGTGTGTGTGTGTGTGTGTGTGTGTGTTCGTCAGCTCGTATGTCAGTCAGTCAAGAAGTCATTTAGAATGAGGAGAGAAAATATCCAAAATAAGTGAGATGACCAAAGATAATTTTGTTGGGCTCAACTCGCTCTGCACTGTGTCAGAGTCCCCTTAATGGACCCCCTTCACTTATTACTACTGTTGATGGTGAAGATCATGTACTGTACACCCTCACAATATGCCCTGCTCACCACACAATGGCTGATACTTATCCTTAACACGACAGTAAAGTACGAGTAGTTATTAAACAAGGTGTATCTAGTAATTTAGGTTTCTGTATAATAGTTTAATCTCTCAATGAAAACACATTTATACTGGTTGGTTTCGCCGACAATTTTTATTTCTTTAGTTTCGAGTGAATTTTAAATTTCCTTTTCCATATACTTACATTTCCTTCAGGTGGGTATGTCTGAGAGTTTATACTTACGTAATGTCATCTTTCCCTTCACTTACTCAACTGGTAATTACTCTGCCACCACTCACTGTGTTTCACACATTAAACCTGGCTTCAGTAGTACACCTCTTAATTATACAATTGGTAGCTGGCAGAGAGGTCAAGACACGTGAATTCTAGAGATTTCCTGATAATCAAATCATATTGGAAGGAATGAAGGGTGATACACAGATTACAATTAATTACTCTATTAAAATAAGTATTGTTGCCTTTTAACTTGAAATATCTTTACCAGTTAAAGGAACTCCCACATGGGTTCGATCAATACTGATTAAACACTTCTTTAATACGTGTACAAAAATAAATACCACAAGGCCTTAATTTGTAATTAGCATAATAAACACCTTCACTTAACACTCATAAAACTTTTTCGTTAAAAATATCAGCACGGTGGTAATACTTCACTACTGCTACCCAGGCATATAGTGGTAATTTCAAGCACCTTCAAGTAACATTTATATCCAGTACAGGCAACATCTGTACTAACTTCAGTACAGTGCCCAGTACAGGCAACATCTGTACTAACATCAGTACTGCATACCAGCTGGCTGTATTGGACGATGTCGTTAATTAGGCAGGATTAAACTGTACAAGCCCGCACCCTGTGAACTCGGCCCCAAGCTCCCTCGCCGTGTGTCGGTCTACAACCGACCCCTAACAGCGATCTTCATTTGTTGTGGAGACACCAGTGTTATACCCTGGGGCACTCTTTACAGTTATATGGGCCAAAGTATTATTGTTGTTGTGTATGATTGGTGATAATTGGCAGACATATAATTATCCCAGGTTAAGTATTGAACCCATGAATGTTGGCGTACCAGTGGTACTGTTGTTATAGGAGTTGAGTCCACCAACCACTGAATGCTAGTTAAAGTGCCATGTTATTCATTCCGAAATAGCATGTTGTTATAAAGAATATTTTAATTTGGGATATTGTCAAGTGTGTCATATAACCCTCTGTAGTGACAATGTAATAAGTAATTGAAGTTGTTTAATGATGTAATAAGTAATTGAAGATCTATTTTATGAATAGTAAAGTAAGACCTACTGTAAGTGGTCCAGTCTGGTATGAGTGAACTTAATTAACATCATATTCAATTATTAAACTACGAGTATCACCACTCTATTCCTTGTAACTCACGTGCCTAGAAACTCGCTAACACGCTACCTAACAGTTACATGAGATATGTTATATTCTAATAAAAGCCTGGGTGGTGGCAGGCTACCGTTAAAAGTATAATAAGTGTTGTACTAAGAAAGACATGGTTCCCCAGACTAATCTATGGTTTAGAATATAATTAAAACAGGGTATACTTCAGAACGGTAAGGACACAGAAATTCAGGAAATACAAGACTATATGAAAGAAAAAGAATATTGGCTTGGAAAATATAAGCAGAGAAATATAAGATATTTATCCTGTAGAAATAAAGACACAGACTATGAAATTATTAAATATATACACCAGAAAAGCTTAATATAAAAGATACACGAGCAAGAACATAAGCAAATAAGAATATAAGAATATAAGCAAGAATACAAGTATATAAATACATTGAAAATTAAAAGAAAAGAAATATAAGACACATACTTATATAAGAATATAAGTATATAAAAATATTGAAGAATATAAGGACTAAGTCTGAAATAATATGAAGTAAGGAAAATCGCGCCCTTACACTGTGATCTTCAAACATCTCGTTTATTATGATTATGTAGTCAGGGCAATACCAGCAACAGCCTTCATGTTTTACCACATTCAGCACCGTCCTAAACGCTGTTAAGCCCAGACCCACATAATGTTCATCAGACGTCAACAAACTTCCTGGTGACGGGGATTTAGCCCCTGATTCCCTACGCCTCATCATGTCTTGTCACAAACTTTCCTCTTCCTCTAACGTACTTACACCTGTGGGGGACACGGTGCATGACAGCTGTCACTGTGTAAGGGGGATGCAATAATTATTAATTGATTTCATCTGTTGTTAATCTTTCTTTTCACCTTCAGATATATTTCTTTCAGTGTCATTCTTTGTTCATATATTTTCCATTAATTATTTAAGTATTTTTTGTATTTAATTCTTATAATGTTCTTATTTCTTTTCTCGGTGCTTTTATTTGTGTATTTCCTCTTACTTTACTTTTATTCTCAGCTGTGCTTAGTTATATTCTGTTCAATGGATTAAACTGGGAAAACCATATCATTCTTTAACATCACCTCATAGTATAATTATTATACTCACACGGTAGACCTGCCACCACCCAGGCTTTGATTTAGAATATAATTTCTATAAGATAAAAAGGTTTCAGTAGCGTGGCAGCTTAGGTACGCGAGTTACGGTGTTTATTTTCTGAGAACTATTGTTAGGAGGGAGGAGCGGTGATATATTCTACTAAATCAAAATTTATTAATATCAAATGTGAATAGTATGACAAATTGAACTTTTATTCTCAACAACAAAGACTAGGTTCAATTACAGTTCCACGTGTCTTATTCCCGAGTCATGCTACCACAGGTCAGAAGTAAGACAAAGTACAAAACTATTTAAGTAGGGGTTTAGGTTCCTCTCCTCTTGCACCCTTACATCACTCTTTTAGAAAGCATAGAAAAAATAATAAACTTTCTTTGTGGAGGCAACAATGCCTTCGAGACATTTCAGCTATTTTTAACAATTATTTACGTATGTTCTCTTTTCCAGTTCTCATCAGTGAATTTATCTCTATGTACACTCGGAAACCATATTCTCTAGCCCACCTGGGTCGGTACTGGAGGTTAGAACAGTGTCCTTTCTGGACGGGGGCCCACTCTAACTATCATGAGGCAACACACGCACGAACAACACAGTCATAGTACGGCTGTATAGATGATATTATGTATAAATATTGTATATGGCATTTTATACTCTGCAAGTCTGCATTATCTTCATTATATATGAACTTGAAGAAAAAATTACCATAGGTTGTAGTTACGAAAGTATGAATGGAAATAAACACTTCCAAACCACCCAGTGACTCCACATGTCGTTTACAGAGCTTGTGGCCAGACCACGATGATTCCACCACACTCCATCCATATCTTTTATTTCCCATCATTTGCGTAACTATATGAAAAATCGTGTTTAATTTAACTATATATTTCAAAAACCTTGAATTACATGTGGATCAGTCACTCCTCATTTGACACACTTATAGTGTAATACTTTGACCATCCCACCTGGGCACATGGAGGCCCACGGTAACTCTCACGGGGCAAGATCCTTGCATTTGTTGGAAAAAAAAAAAAAAAAAAATTATATATATATATATATATATTCTTTCCCTCACCCTAGCAAACTAGTTAGCATAGCATAACCAAACGGCCTCGCAAGGACCAATAGGTCTGGATATAATGTGTGTGCACGCGCTAAAATTACCTAGTATATTTTACTAGTGTCTCATTGTCCATGGGTTTTCTTACAGTTTGGCTGTGAGTTTTCTATTTTGTCTACCTGCAGGTTCAACAGGACTGCTAACTATCCTCCCAGCAACTCATATGCCATCCGAGACCCACAGCCTATATGTATGGTGCAAGACCGCAGTCCAATACATACAAGTCAGGCAGCCAAGCGCTGGTTTGAGGCGCACCCTCAGATTATTCTATTGGACTGGCCCCCTAAAGGAGCCGATTGTAATCCAATAGAAAATCTATGGGCGCATGTGGTTGTTGAATGGGATGTTGAGGAGAAAACGAGGGAGGCAGTGAGGAGACACGCACATAATGTGTGGGGGGGAATAAGGAGGAGGCCGAACATCTGCAGCAATCTGGTAGATTCCATTCCCACCAGATTGCATGAAGTTATAGCAGCAGATGGAGGTTGGACACGGTACTAACCTGTGGTCAAGAATTAAATCTCCGCCCACGACGGTGCCTTGTAGGGGGTGGCGGGGGAGTTAGCTCTCTGGTGTAACCTCGTTGGGGCCACATAGACTTCGTT